TCAAATTCAAGCTACTTTCTAATGCTAGATTTTGAATTTGACGATATGCATAAGCAAAATAAGAAGCATGCTTGCGATGCGTCAAACTTTAAGCCAAAAAAACAGTTTTCTTCTGCTGTCTTGTTACATATTGTCAACATCTAACTTAAAAAGACGTAGACTAACCTTATAAGTGAGTACGAAAAGCACTGCCTTTTCAACAACAAAAAGCACGAATAGCACTGTATATATCACTTATCATTGTTTTTAATTCGAATAATATGACCAATTCTGCAATATTGATGATAGTTAATTATTATACATTATCTTCGACACCATCAAAGTGTCTATTGCCGTTAGTGGCACCCCTAGAATTAGACCTATTCATTTTAAATATCTTTCTTTATTTAACACAATTTCAATTTCAATGTCTTTATCGTTACCAAGGTGTTTTTGCAATTGTATATGATTTATGAGGAAGTGGATTTAATCTAGTGAAATAATAATAATTACCAAGGCCCACGTATATTGAATCTTCAAGAATATCATACAACCCTAAAGATTAATGTTCAATTATTGGAAATGTATGTAGTCCTCATTCAGAAAGAGGTTAATTCCGCATAATAGGATTGAAAATAACACTTTTATAAAAACATATTCAGTCTTGCTAGTCTCACGGTCTGTGAACCGAATAATATTTGATCAATACAAGTCTTACATCTAATCGGTTTTGCATCAAAATTAGAATGACTCGGTTCAACTTGGTTGATTTAAGTCTGAAATCCTTGACTCAGATAGTTGAATCGGTTGGATCGATTGAGTCAATAAAAAACTATATTTTTTAAAAACAACTGAACCCATATCTTTTGAGATGAAGAAAGTGATTTAAACATATTTATGGTTATATTTGATATTTGATATTTGTTACCTTATGTTCAACCAAAGTGTGACACTAAGATTGATTTGGTTGGATCAAGAGCTCAAGCTTAAGTGTTATGATATCAAGTGAGAAATATTATTAAAAGTTGTTTATTATTCCATAGATCAGGTATGTTTAAATAGATGTATTGATGTACAATCATGATCTTAGAATCATGCTAATAATTACAATTGTGATTCTAAATAATACCAATGGTAATTATAATAGTGTTGCATAATAATATAAAATAAATATATGGTGTGTGAACCATATAATTAAGGATCACCATATCATGATAGTAGAATAATGATCCCCTACAATATGATGATATCATTAATTGTAGGATATTTACTTTCTCTTATAAGTAATATGATACCATAACTTGTCCCCTTATTTTTATTCTATACAAAAACTCATCTCCTTATTTTTTTTTAATGATTTTTTCACTCCATATCTCACATATTGGAATACTCAACAATTTCATTCTAAAGTGTGAGTCTTTTAACAACGGTGCTATGTGTATTTTTAATATCATAAAATTAAACTTGGAATTATGCAGTGCACACATGGCAAATATGGGTCCAAAGCAAAATGGTATAGCTAAGAGATTCATACCCGGTGTTGCCTTTATTTTATTTTTTTCCTACAAAAATCAATCATCTTATTCTTTAATTTTTGTAAATCAGAAATAATACTCACCGATATTTTAATATTTCGAATCACTTCAAATTCCTTTGTCGCCTTTTTTTTATTAAATGTATGTAGTTTTCATTAAACAAAAGATATTACATATTTCTCAATCACATCAAAATGAATATTAAATAAAAATAAATATAAGACTTATATGTTTATCCATTTAAAAAACTAATGACATAGTATGATCATATTATGTTTTTTTTTACTTTATCTTTAATATTAAACCTAATTTTTTGTTAGGATTGTAGAGAACAAAAGCTCCAGAGATTTGAAATATTGAGTCAAGGAATAAAGAAAAACCACAATAGGGAATTATAATATCATATCTTAATCCAAAATATTACTATATTACACATGAGCCTTATAAGGTTTTCAATATACCTTTAATTAATCAATGTATCTCACATTTAGGACTCTTTGCATTTTGAATATCAGGCAATTAGAAATGGAATTATGAGAGGTTGTTCTTAACCATACTTTTTTGTTGTATGGTTAAGAACACATATTACCTGTATATTCATATTTGGTAGATTGATTTTGACATATATTTGAAATCATATAATTATCAATCTTATTAAAAATATATATTAGTAACGTTGTGTAATAATTTGATAAAATAAAATGAAATATATAGATAATCATTGATAAGTTTTATACAATATTCAAAGTCGTTATGAAAAATAATTGATATTACAATAGGCTGAATTTCTTAACATTTTCAATCATTTGAAACCAAAATAAATTGAAAATTGAGTTAGTGAAAGTTAGTTTGAAATTGTGTTGTGGAGAATATGAAATCAGTGATAAGGAGATAGCATGAGTGAAACCAAAAGAAATGAAGGTTTGAAAAACAAGGATCAAATGAAGTGAAATCAAAAGTTTAGAATAAATGAATTTTGTATTTGTCAAATGATTCAGCGTATGCATATCCATGGTAGATGATGAATGTGTCCAATGATAATTAATTGATTTGAAGATTTTTTTATATATATTTAATACAATGTGTGATTGTACATAATAAAAATATGGACCAATTTTGGAGGCAAAAAAGTAAATGAGAAGTTGATATGTGTCCATGATAATGTTACAATAACCTTTTTTTCTTATATATATAATAGACAAGTTACTAATATGACCAATATATGGACGCTTAGTATATTTGAGGTGTTATAGTGAACTCAATTTCACAAACATAAACTACTAGATATAGAAGTATATTTTGTAGGTCATAAATATTAATATTATGTGTAAAGTGTAGTAAGGTTCAATCTCAACATGTGAATTCCATCATTTTTTAATAATTAATTTGTATTAGCTAATCAAATAAATCAATTAATCCTTGAAAACCAACTTAATATAAAAACATTTTGTTTAAGGACTGGATTTCTCTCCAGTACGGTGCAGTACTGGAATGAGAGGCTCATTGATTTTATCATTTATAATATTTTTTATTTAAAAACAATTTAAAATTTGTATCGTTAATTTTTTTAAGGTCATATGTCACAATCTTATTTAGTATTAGATCATCCGGTATTGGAGAAGATCTAATTTCTTTCTTCAAAGACTGATAGTCAACAATTTCTTGTTAATTGGACAACATTTTTATACTTATTTGTGATACCCAATTTAGTACTTTCATAAACCAATTTGTTGATGAGCACTTTACACTATTGGGCAATCCTAATTAGTCTATATTTGCCATATAATGTGATTGAATGTAATTGCTCCATCCTTTGTCTTTACACATGAACCTAACAATTAAAATAATGGAAATAAACCTAGCGAATTAAAAGAAGTGGCGATCAAAGATCACTTAGGTTCCAACAAGTGTATGGTGTTAAAGTTTCAATTAGGTTTTGAATTTAATGTACAGAAAATAAAGGGGGAAAGCAAAACCATATAGTCAACAATATGTCATAATCGAAAATGTCACATTTTTCCCCAACAGCATTAGATGTTTGGTTGCAACCTTCACCGGCCTTATAAACAAAATAATGTCAAATATCTTGTCGGTCTCCACGATTAATAACATAATTCACTGCATTTTTTTTTTATGATCACAAAATTCACTGCATATTAAAGGACCTATGTTTTTTTGTATAAACATATATATGCAACATAATTAATATGTTCCCCTACTTTTCTCTTTTGAGAAGTCAGACTAATGAATAGGAAGAAACTAGATTATGTTTCTAGACAAGATTTTGCATCCCTTTCTACCCACTCATGAAAAAACATAGACTTTGTATCCATCAAGACTAGAACATTGAGTTTACTTTTTTTTTTTTACCTAATGTGAAACTCATAACATTATTATCGTATATCTTTCATTGCATCGAGGTTCCCCAATTCCTAAGATCCATGTGGGGATGTTACATACTTGCATACTATATTATTCATATGAATCTATTTAGTTAGGATCGCAGGTCAATCCAATGGTTTGAATTTTTGATGGGCGGAGTTTAAGTTAATTTCTTAGAATGCACATAATAGCTCCTATAAAGTTGTTCATGGGCTAGAGAGGAATTGGACTGAACTAGGCCTAAAATCAAGCCACTGTGGTGAGTTCAGAATATAATACAGCCTGGTCCAAAGTTTGGTCTAGGTTGTTGTCTGAATGTGATCTGGTATCTAGACACGGTTTTTCTTGCTTATATTCCTATATAACAATATTTCTCTTTCTAACTAAATAGACTTTTAACATTTATATGTCATGATGGATGCCTCTGCTATGGCCATTAGAATAAATATCAGTCACACAAGTCAAAAGTGAAGGTTAAATCAATGACTGAGATGTAACTTTTAGACTATATTTGAAAAGTGATATACAGGTAATAAATGAAAATATAAAAGTGAACGTTGATTTAAACATAATGTGGTGTGTGCAAAGGGGCAAGGAAAAACAGTAGAAGAATGTGTCAATTGTACATAAATACTACTGAATCCTACTTTAGTAATTTCACAAACCCAGCAGATTATCTTCTCATCTACCAATAGGGCGTAGCTCTAGTAGTGTAAGACTCTGTTATATACACAGAAAGACTAAAAAGTCAATAGTTCAATTCTTAGGAGCGATAATTGGGAGGAGCAATCACAAATCCCAAAAAGAATTAATTCCGATACTTACAAAAAAAAGTGAAGGAATAGTTTGATAATACCAACAAAAAAAAATATGTTCTCATCTACATACTACATTTCATGTCACAATCACACCAAGTGTATGTTACAATAGAAGCTAACTTCACATTAACATAACTAAAGCATGAATAGCCCTCCCACCCTTCTCTTCTATAAATCTGAAACCAACCACAACTACTTTTTTGTACAACCGTATATACACATCACCCAATAAAAGCTCTGAATCTGAAATGGTGAAGGAAGTTTGTGATGGTGTACCTTAGTGTAGGTGGAAAGTTCCAAAGGGATCGCATTGATCTAATTCTAGTAGAAGCATGCACTTATATGAAGTTCCTGAAATCACCTTTGTTTTTCTGTTTCACTAATTGGATCATGCCATCCCTTAGGAATTTTCCATCAACTCTATACTTTTCATGATCCCTTTGAGGTAAACAATATAATATTGTTCTATATGAAGCTTTAGTGTAAGTAATTCATCTTCACCTTCTCTATCTACTGAATAAGGTATATCTCCACATCTTCAATTGGTAGGTTTTAATTTTCTTATACTGCTTTATATGACTTTGTACTTTTATAAATATCTGATGATCAAATATGGTTCATGTATCACTTGTAAGGGTTTCTTAATCTACCATGATATTTTAAGAATTATATATACTATTTCAAGAATAACTTTTTTAGGTTATAGAGGATGTATGTTGAAAGTAAATTTGTTTCAATAGAACGACAAAGAACTAATACATGAACTTTCCATGTTTGCAGATTATATATCTTTATGAACTACTTGAAAGAAATAGAAGACAATTCGATTAGTCTTTTTACTATGTATATTATACTTTGCCCTTTGGTGTTGTAGTCCTTAATCATCAACACTACTCTTTACTTTGTTCTTTCTTTATATTTTATTCCTTATAAGGATTGTTAGTGAACTCATAACATCACCCCTAATCATAATTTCAGCATCATGTATCCTCTCTTTAATTAGGTTAAACTCATTTAGATAGGACTATTGAAATTGTCCATTTTTTATTTTTACTTTCTTTAATGCTTTAATAAGGTGTATAAGAAGTGAGTAAAATATATTTATTTTTTGATGTATAGTGTAAAACATGTTATTTCACAACTGTCTGGGGTTGAAAAGAATCACATACTCTTATCGTACAATTTAATTTTCCTTTTTTTTGTTCAAATATGTTTTGATTCATATATTAATGGGATGCCTTTAGTCAATAGTTTTATTTTATTCTTAATATTTAGTCCTTCTATTTTGAATAGGTGATGATTTTCATTTTAACTACAATTTTGGAGTCAGATTCATTTTTATTATTGGAGATGACAATTATGTGGACAATGACACTTTTATTCATTTAATTTATATTAACATTACATTTTTACCGTTAAAATATATTATAAAACCTAAATGTTCTCTCTAATAAACCCGACCTTGTAATTTTGGGCTTAATACTTATAAAACATAGGAGTCTGGATCCTCTCCCGTAATGGAGAGGTCATTACATAGTTGTGATGGTGACATGTGGTAATGTAAGTTTTTAATGGCCAGGATTTTAAAATATAAAATAATATATTTTTAAATAAATCAATTCTGAAAAAATGACAATTATACCCTTTATTCTCTCTTTCATTTCTTAACCCTAACCAAACCTTTTCTTCTCTCACGAACAGACCCATCTCCACCATCATCAGAATTAACCTCATGGGTGTTACTATTACGGTCTTTGCCACCAAAATGTTCCAACTTTAACTCTCGCCAAACCGTAGAAGACCCATCAGCCACAAACCCATTTCCAATTCCATCATTATTATTATCAATTGGAAACGATTTTAGGTCTGGGAGAGTGTTGGGATTTGATAAAACAGTTTTATTGAGAGAAAAGTGACCAAATTGGGGTTTGAAGTGGAGAAAGAAGGTGGGTACGGGATTGTAGGAAGAAAGTGAAAAAGAGAAATTAACAGAGAAGAGAAGAGAAGAGGGGAGTGGCGAGGGGATCCAAATAAGCCTAAACCAGATTTGAGGGAGAGAGAGAAAGGGGGAGAGGAGGTTGAGGAAAAGGAGAAGAAAAAGACTGATAGATCTGATTAGGGATAGAGTAAAGGAAGAGAAAGAAAGAGAGAAAATAAAGAATATGGTTGTCATTTTTTCAGAATTGATTTATTTAAAAATATATTATTTTATATTTTAAAATTCTGGTTATTAAAAACTTACATTATCACATGTCATCATCACAACTATGCAATGGCATCTGAATGTAAAACAAAAACATAAAATTCTTTATTTTGTTAGCTTTAACGTTTTAATTATTGTTCTCACATCAATTTAGGTTGAAGATTTAATGTTTGATCCAGGTTTCGGTATATGATTGGTACTTGTGAAATATGAATTATGGTGAGTGAGTTGATTAATTCCACTTACAGTATGAGGAAGGACATGATAGAGACTTGTATCACATCAACCTCCAACAAGGATGACCCACATGACAAAACCATCGATCAAACATGTCGGATTATTAATTGTCCTTCACACGTGAACAAATGTCTTTGCTCATTATGTCATGTTTCTCTATTCTGTAACTGTACTATTGATTAAACCCAGTAATAATGCACGTGTATGGAAACGTGTGACATGAAAGTGTGCACAAGTAATGCTACTTAAATAATAGAATAAGTGCACATGGTTTCATTTGTCAAAAAAGCAATTTATATGTTGCTAAAAATCAACTCTCAAATTGTTTTATATTATTAGAAAAGTCACATCTCTTTCAAAATATTATTACTTTAATGGCCATATCATTTGTTAGTGGTGTGAAATTTATTTGTAGTACAAAAATAACACCAATCATGGAAGCTGCTATGGTACTTGATGGATCATTATGATATTATATTTTTAATTGGTGGTTAAAAAGTGAAAAATAACATGCATTACTTGTTTGACCACATTTATTAATGGAACCCGAAAGAGTTCTTATTTGCAAATAAGGTAAGTTTTAAATTTTAATCAAATTTAAATCAAACTCTATTTAAATTTCAAATTCATATGAACTATTTATTTTATTTTTTTAAATTAAAATTCATCTCTAATTTCCATTGCCTTCGAGCACAAATGATATGGAGCCCCTTATCAAAGGGTGTGAAGAGCATTCACCAACTTGAATCAATAGTGGGTCAGAGACAAGATTGCAACTACAATCATCATTTTGCTTGAATTCTTTGCTTATGATCTGGGATTTGTTTTTTCCTAAATTTGAGATGTGATTTTTCTTGAACTTTGACACTTATGATGTGTTTTGTTTAGGAGGAAAAGTAAGGAAAGAAAGTAGACGGAATGAAAGTTTAATCAAATTTTTTTGTACAGAGGATGAGATATTTTTTTAGTTGTTAGATTTGAAGGAAAACGATAGAAATAAAATAAGTTAAATATGTACATAATTATATATATATTTTTATTGCACAATAAAAATATATATTGTTTTAAATTATATTGTTATATTAAACATATTTTTTTACAAATTATATAGTTTTGGGTATACGTATGAGTAGTTAGTATTCATGATACTCAATGGGTTTTAAGTTATGAATTAAATATTTTATAATAATTAATATATATATAATCGTTACTACATTAACATTAACATATGAATATGATACAAATTTTATTATGGTTCAATCACTACTATTTATTATAAAAAATGATTTTATTGTGGATATTCATTGTCATACTTTTACGATAACTACTACGAGTGTGGGTAATCTTATTATCAGACAAATTTGTATGGAGACGTATCTAACACATCATATTTAAATATATGTGCACTTATGTTCTTTTGTGTTATCATTTAAGACTAAATTTTAATTAAAAATAATTTTGTAATGTATTATCAAGATTTTATTAGTTTTCTCTACATAAATGCATCTTCAAACAAATCTTTCTCTTATCTCTACTACTAACTCTTCAACGAGAGTCTTCCTATTCCTCCTCACAGCTAGGGGCAAAACTCACATGGCCCTATCCCATTTTTAGATTGCACAATTTTTTTTTATAATTCTCATTACAGTGTAATGCACATTGAGAACTGAGAAAAGTTTCAAAGTCTTTCTCAGATTGAAGAACCTAAAACCTTAGGGTGATTGCATTTGATTTTGCATTCAATTACATAATTTGCAAAATTCCATGCTTACCACATTTGAAGAGCATGTGCGTTAATATTGAAAGAATAAAGTTGAAGAAAATCGTTATTGTGTTAAGAAAAGTTTTTGGGGGCCCATGGATTATTTTTCTATTTTTTGGGATCCAAATATAATGGAAAATACCAAAATCCATCCATTTTATCTCTTTTTCTTTTCTCCCATTTTTGTTCGAAAAAAACATAAGCTTAAGGTAAGGTGCATTCAATGCTATTGAGAATAGTGAAAGCCAAAACTGTAGGAATATGAAATGTAAAACAGTTCAAGATTTATAAACTGAAAACACTCTATTTTATTGATAGGTGAAACACTATTAAATAGCCAATGCACAGCAGTTGAAAAGCTATAAAATAGGTCACTAAGGAAACATTCCCATGATCAACAACTACTTCCTAAATACTAGGATAAATTGAAATGCAAGAGTAAAAGTAGTAACAACTAACAAATAACCTATCATTCCCTCCCTTAAACTAGCTGCATAATGCAACTAGTTTATTTCATTGAAATCAACCATTCCCATCTTCTTTCTAAGCTTCTGGAATGCCTTAAAGTTCAAAGCTTTAGTCATTAAATCTGCAACCTGCTCTTGAGTTACACAGTGCACCAATTCAATTTCCCCATCCTTAACAAGGTCTCTCAAAAAATGAAAACGAACTCTAATATGCTTAGATCTTCCATGCATTACTGGATTTTTTGAAAGTTTAATTGTTGAGTTGTTATCACACATGATAACAGTGCTGCCTTCTTGAACATGACTTAAGTTTCTCAAAATCCTTCTCATCCACACAGCTTGACAAGCACTTGCACTAGCAGCCACAAATTCAGCTTCAGTTGTTAAGAGAGTAACAATAGGTTGTTTCTTGGACATCCATGACACTGCTCCAGAACTCAATAAGAAAATATAACCTGATGTGCTCTTAGAATCTTCTTCATCTCCGGCATAATCAGAATCTGTGAAACCAAGCAAGTCTTGTTCTCCTCCCTTCTTGTAAAATATCCCATAGCTAGTAGTTCCCCTCAAGTACCTTAATATCCTTTTAGCAGCTTGTAAATGCAACTCAGTTGGCTTTGACATATACCTACTAATTAAGCTCACACTAAACATAATATCTGGCCTAGTAGTAGTAAGGTACATTAGACTTCCCACAATTTGTTTGAAATAAGTATCATCAACAACAACCCCATTAACATCTTTGTT